AGGCCGACACTCTATCCACTGAGCCAAACCAGCTAGGGCCAGCAATGACTTTTTATTCTGTGAATACCCTTGGCTGGCCATTCAGTGCGAAAAAGTTCTGCAAGCAGTGCTTTTGGCCAACTGAAGGATCTGGCACCAGGAGACTTCTCTCACTAAAGGGAGCAAATGAAAAGAATACTGTTTGGTGCTCTCGGTTTGATTTTTGTATCACTAGCCTTCAGTGTGGAAACAAATACGTAGTTCCTAAAAGAATATTTGGTACGGTTTAAACTATAGTTAAATTATGTCAGTCCAGTAAGGGAAAACTTTATAAAAGTATGCTTGTCGTATTTTAAAATATATATTTGTATTGATTTCAGAGAGGAAGGGAGAGGGAGAGAGAGATAGAAACATCAATGATGAGAGAGAATCATTGATTGGCTGCCTCCTGCATACCCCACAATGGGGGATGGAACCCGCAACCCAGGCATGTGCCCTGGCCAGGAATGGAACCATGACCTCCTGGTTCATAGGTTGATGCTCAATCACTGAGCCATGCCAGCCGGCAAAGTATGCTTGTCATTTAATATGCTGTGCATCATATTGTTTTCAACTCTTTCTTATTTCGCTGTTGTTTTTTCTTCCAGGAGAAAACTTTGCAGAATTCAAAGTATGCTTGTCATTTAATATGCTGTGTATCATATTGTTTTCAACTCTTTCTTATTTCACTGTTGTTTTTTCTTCCAGGAGAAAACTTTGCAGAATTCAGATCTGCAGGGACTGATGATGGTTTCACCGATTTTAAAACTGCCGGTAGTATTTCACCCCTAGAGCCACCAACAAAAGACAAAACTTTTCCAGCAGCCTTCCCCTCAGGAGCTATACAACAGAAACAACAAACTCAAGTGAAAAATCCTCTGAACTTAGCAGACTTAGATATGTTTTCCTCAGTTACTTGCAGCAGCGAGAAACCATTGTCTTTTTCAGCCACATTTAGTACATCAAAATCTGTTTCTACACGACCACAGGCAGGACCTGCTGCAGCCACAGCAGCATTGGCATCAACTAAATCTTGTAGTTTGGCTGATGATTTTGGAGAATTCAACCTTTTTGGGGAATATTCTAGTCCAGCATCTGTTGGGGAGCAGGATGACTTTGCAGATTTTATGGCTTTCAGTAATAGCTCTGTTTCATCTGAGCAAAAGACAGATGACAAATATGATGCCCTCAAAGAGGAAGTTAATCCTGTTCCTCTGACCAGCAGCTCGAGCAACACAGTGAAGAGTGGACAGAACTCTGCTGCTGCGTCTACCAAATATGATGTCTTCAAACAGCTTTCTCTGGAAGGATCTGGACTAGGTGACGAACTGAGAGATAACCCTCCTTCAGGAAAAAGTGATGATGATTTTGCCGACTTCCACTCCAATAAATTTTCTTCCATGAACTCAGACAAATCCCTGGGAGAAAAAGCAGTGGCTTTCAGACACACCAAAGAAGACTCTGCTTCAGTGAAGTCCTTGGATCTCCCTTCCATTGGTGGCAGCAGTGTTGGCAAGGAGGACTCTGAAGATGCACTCTCTGTTCAGTTTGACATGAAACTGGCTGATGTGGGAGGAGATCTTAAGCATGTCATGTCTGATAGCTCTTTGGATTTACCAACAGTTAGTGGCCAGCATCCTCCTGCTGCAGGTGAGGAATTGGTGAGATTGCTCTGGTGATGGTGATGTAGATTTCAAAGATGGTTCTGTGGGTGTTGATTTACAGACAGTAAGTCTCTGGCTCTTAACCTTTATGAATTACTAATAACCTCTTAGTTACCAGTCCCCATAAGCAATGTTAAATTTGAATCTAGGGATACTTGGGTATAATGGATACCCTGAATACTATGGAACTTAGATTGGATAAATATTTTTATTTTTGAAATCTAACACCAACTTGGTGTTAGAAGCACATAAAAATCCACTGCTAAATGAACCCCACATTGCCAAAAGTTTTTGTAGAAATTTTTGCAGTGCCAGTAATGTTCCTCTATTTCTGTGAGTGAGGCCAGTGTTTCCCTCTCCTTTTTTCTTCTCTTGGGTATATTTAATAGCTGCCAATATAGTTTTCTGTTTGGTTTACAGAAACTGACTCTTGTTAGGTCAATAAAGTAAGAATGTGTAGCCAGTTGTAGTTTGCCAGGTCCCTAACAAGAGAAAAAGAGGGAAAGTGCTTCTGTATGGATGTCCTGTGTGCCAGGGTCTGGCAAAGAGGAGGGCGTGAGTTAGTGGATTTCAGGTACAGTTTTCAGTGTTAAACTTTATTATTGGAAGTATTAAATTGTAACAGGTCTGTAGATGATAGAATAGGGTAACCTCTCACTTTCTCATAAAATGTTTGAGAATATCTTAAGGGGAGCCCTCTTAAAATTCTGTATGAATTTACATGTACATGCCAGCCGGCAAAGTATGCTTGTCATTTAATATGCTGTGCATCATATTGTTTTCAACTCTTTCTTATTTCGCTGTTGTTTTTTCTTCCAGGAGAAAACTTTGCAGAATTCAGATCTGCAGGAACTGATGATGGTTTCACCGATTTTAAAACTGCCGGTAGTATATCACCCCTAGAGCCACCAACAAAAGACAAAACTTTTCCAGCAGCCTTCCCCTCAGGAGCTATACAACAGAAACAACAAACTCAAGTGAAAAATCCTCTGAACTTAGCAGACTTAGATATGTTTTCCTCAGTTACTTGCAGCAGCGAGAAACCATTGTCTTTTTCAGCCACATTTAGTACATCAAAATCTGTTTCTACACGACCACAGGCAGGACCTGCTGTAGCCACAGCAGCATTGGCATCAACTAAATCTTGTAGTTTGGCTGATGATTTTGGAGAATTCAACCTTTTTGGGGAATATTCTAGTCCAGCATCTGTTGGGGAGCAGGATGACTTTGCAGATTTTATGGCTTTCAGTAATAGCTCTGTTTCATCTGAGCAAAAGACAGATGACAAATATGATGCCCTCAAAGAGGAAGTTAATCCTGTTCCTCTGACCAGCAGCTCGAGCAACACAGTGAAGAGTGGACAGAACTCTGCTGCTGCGTCTACCAAATATGATGTCTTCAAACAGCTTTCTCTGGAAGGATCTGGACTAGGTGACGAACTGAGAGATAACCCTCCTTCAGGAAAAAGTGATGATGATTTTGCCGACTTCCACTCCAATAAATTTTCTTCCATGAACTCAGACAAATCCCTGGGAGAAAAAGCAGTGGCTTTCAGACACACCAAAGAAGACTCTGCTTCAGTGAAGTCCTTGGATCTCCCTTCCATTGGTGGCAGCAGTGTTGGCAAGGAGGACTCTGAAGATGCACTCTCTGTTCAGTTTGACATGAAACTGGCTGATGTGGGAGGAGATCTTAAGCATGTCATGTCTGATAGCTCTTTGGATTTACCAACAGTTAGTGGCCAGCATCCTCCTGCTGCAGGTGAGGAATTGGTGAGATTGCTCTGGTGATGGTGATGTAGATTTCAAAGATGGTTCTGTGGGTGTTGATTTACAGACAGTAAGTCTCTGGCTCTTAACCTTTATGAATTACTAATAACCTCTTAGTTACCAGTCCCCATAAGCAATGTTAAATTTGAATCTAGGGATACTTGGGTATAATGGATACCCTGAATACTATGGAACTTAGATTGGATAAATATTTTTATTTTTGAAATCTAACACCAACTTGGTGTTAGAAGCACATAAAAATCCACTGCTAAATGAACCCCACATTGCCAAAAGTTTTTGTAGAAATTTTTGCAGTGCCAGTAATGTTCCTCTATTTCTGTGAGTGAGGCCAGTGTTTCCCTCTCCTTTTTTCTTCTCTTGGGTATATTTAATAGCTGCCAATATAGTTTTCTGTTTGGTTTACAGAAACTGACTCTTGTTAGGTCAATAAAGTAAGAATGTGTAGCCAGTTGTAGTTTGCCAGGTCCCTAACAAGAGAAAAAGAGGGAAAGTGCTTCTGTATGGATGTCCTGTGTGCCAGGGTCTGGCAAAGAGGAGGGCGTGAGTTAGTGGATTTCAGGTACAGTTTTCAGTGTTAAACTTTATTATTGGAAGTATTAAATTGTAACAGGTCTGTAGATGATAGAATAGGGTAACCTCTCACTTTCTCATAAAATGTTTGAGAATATCTTAAGGGGAGCCCTCTTAAAATTCTGTATGAATTTACATGTAGCAGTTTATTCTCTAGCTTAACTTCTTGTCATAAAAACTAGATTCCCAAGTGTCCTAGTTTTTATTTTGTTTTGTTATTTGATACATATAGAAAGATAAACCTATTTTGTGGCCTTTAATAATGAGAGATATCTCAGTATTACTGTATTCTAGAAAATTTATTATGCATATGAAGGGTTCATTGTTGTTGTTTTTTAACTAGAGAGGAACACGTAACAGACTTCCAAGTTTACAGATCCAGGCAGAAATTGTAAAGTATTAATGACTTTTGCAATCAGAAAACAAAATTGCCTCTGTCCTTTGGCTGTTGAAATGAAGGTATCCTTAAACAGGGTGCTGAGGCAGGAGCAAGTTTTCAGAGATGTTGTGTGTTTCATGTTGCTACTTGCCAGGGTATTTTCCAAGTGCAGTGGGCTGTCTGTCCTCAGACTCCTTGTGCCCCTGACTGTCTACTTCCTTTTTTTGTACTTTTCCTCAGATGGTTTCCTATATATATATTTTTTTTGCTACTGTTTGTTTGATACAGTGAATTTGTTTCTCTTTTTTGTATGAGCTGCTTGAGCCACAGCAGTTGATTGCAAAGTGCTCCATTTTCTGAACAACAGTATTTGATTTTTATTTAAAAAATCTCATAACAAGTAAACTAGCCTTCTGGACTCTGGAATTATTAATTAGAAGCTATTTTTCTGAAAGTGAATCTATATTCTTTCACAGTGCCAAGCTAAATGTCTTTATGAGATGAGTCTAATCTGGGTTTAGGGTGTCGTTTTTTTCTCCCATTTTATTTGGGGAGGGGAGGCTGTTTTTTTTCTTTGTTCTGATTGACCTGTTAAAATAATATTCTGTGCTCATATTCTTTTATGTATGTTTGGAACATTCCCAGCTTGGAACCTGTAATGTTCAAGCCAAGTCTCTTCAGTTTGAGATATTCTTAAAAGCAGATTGTTCCCTCCTTTGGATCTGTAAACCTGTCAGAAAGAAGCAGTATCCCTTTAGAGCGGTTGTTAAAAGGGGTTGATGTCTGACTAATGCACTATATAGTTGTTGAGCAAAATTGCTGCATAAATGTATTGTGGAGGGTACATGACAGGGACTTCTTCAGTTTTCATGTTGACCACAGTATCTCTTGCTCTCTTAGTTTGAGGGTTAAAGGTACTTCTTGTTGGAGAAATTCGAAGTGTGCTGATGAAGAGAGAATAAAATGTAGTAGACTGCTATCTCTAGACCTTAGTCCTATTTAGAAACCCTAACTTAACTCTGAAGGGGATACTGTCTCTTTTAACTCTTGCTATAATTCTTTGTATGGAAGGTAGATAATGCTAATAACATTGCCTGATTTCTCTGCATATTATTACATTTAACCCTTTGAGCCCTTGCTGCATATAATTTCAACTAGGCTGCTTTTGTCCGCCCACTAAATTTAATCTCTCTGGCACTGAAGCATCTTGACGTGCAGTCATTAAGATCATCTGGTTTTGTTGGCAGCAAGAGCTTACCTTCATTTGTGACACTCAAAGGGTTAGCAAGACTTCTGTAGCTACCTACCTACCTACCTGTAAAGTAACTCTTCTTTGTCATTAAAAATCTTTGTATTTTAATCAGCGCCTTTTTTTTTTCTTTTTTCTTTTTTGGGCTGCTCTTCTGATGTCTTTTTTTTATAGACATTTTCTGTGTGAATGTGCCTTTTTGAACTTGCTTTGGTATATTCCTCTGCAAATACTGATCTGCATGCTTATTCTGATGACTTATTTTCCAGCTCTCTGTACCACTCTCTTTTGTGATCTGTAAGTCCTATGTTAATAAATAATTCTTTGGCATATTTTGAAAGTGTGGGGATGTGTGTAATTTGTACTTTTTTCAGGGTTAGACCAAAAAAAATCTCTGGTCCATATCAAGTTTAAAGCAATAGCATCTCCTGTGATTAGAGGGTTTTCCCTTTTGTTTGTTTTGTTTCCTCAAACACCTTTCTCCTAGAAAAGTATTGGTGCATTTTAGCTTTTTCCCTTATAATTCCATTGATAAAAGTTTTTAACATCTCACTGGATTAAAATATAACTTCAAATATTTTTTAAAGTGTAAACTGAACACAATTTTAGACATTAGGAAATTTACTTCTTCTAGTGAAGAAACTGAGTAGATTTTATTGCTTAGTAAAGATCACAGAGCCTTTCTCCAGTAGGAGTTCCATTGTGAGGAGAGGGGAAGGTGAGGGGGCAGAGGAAAAGGACACATTATCAGTAAATTTAATTTAAAATAAATTATCAAATGGTGTTGAGATGGACTTCTGAGCACAGTAAATGTAAGTTTAATTTAAATTGATAATCTGTGTACTGGAAAGTGTTCAGTGTTAATACCAGGACTGATTTGATTGGAGTTGAAATTGGGTACTTCATCCTCTACTTGTGTAGTACTGTATCTTTCCAGCTTCAGAATGTATTGTGAAGCCGCTCTCAGTTGTTTTTTATTTAGTCCATAAAACGACTTT